TTACTCGAAAACGGATGTACTGTTACGGACGACAAGACCAAGGCTAATGTCTTCAATCGCTACTTTGCATCTCAAACGCAACTCAACACATTGGGCGCCTCTCTTCCCTTTGTTTTACTCTTAGAACAGAGTCTGTTATTGACTCAATCGTCTGCTCCCCCTTGATGTTTACAAAGTTTTTGTGCGATCTTAATGTTAACAAGGCCACAGGACCCGACGGCCTAGGAAATAGACTCCTAAAAAATGTTGCCCAGTCACTAGCCGCCCCTTTATCATCATTGTTTAACGTTTCACTACAGTACGGACATTTTCCAAAAATTTGGAAATGTTCGAATGTTGTGCCCGTGCACAAGAAAGGAGACAAGCAGATCAAGGAAAACTACAGACCCATATCCCTCCTATGTTGTGTGTCAAAGGTCTTTGAAAGAATAGTCCATAATCAACTGTCCTCATACTTCCACAGAAGTAAGCTTCTCACTGACCGTAATGCCGGGTTCGCCTTGGGAGATTCCACCGTTAATTCATTGACCTATTTAGTTCACAAAATTCATCAAGCACTTGACCAAGGCCTCGAAACCCGTGCAGTTTTTCTTGACATATCTAAAGCTTTTGATAAGGTTTGGCATGGGGGATTAATCTTTAAGTTGCGACAACTAGGAGTTACTGGGTCTCTCTTATTATGGATTGAATCCTACCTGAGCGATCGTAAACAGCGAGTTGTTATAAACGGGATGTGCTCTGAATGGCTACCAATTGATGCAGGTGTTCCATAAGGGTCACTTCTCGGCCCATTGCTCTTTCTTGTTTTTATAAATGACCTTGTTGACAACCTACGAACAGATTCCCGTCTTTTTGCTGATGACACCGCACTGTTAGAGATAATCATGGATCCCGTTGTCTCAGCGAACAGACTGAATCATGATCTCAGTGTAGTGTCAGACTGGTCAGACCAGTGGCTTGTAACATTCAATCCCGGCAAAACAGAACTGATGACTTTTTCCTCTAAAAGAAGAAAGGTTCTTCACCCACCACTATACTTTAGAGGTGTTCAGCTGACTGAAACCCCCTCTCACCCGCACCTTGGCTTACATCTCACTCCAAATTTATCATGGTCACTCCACGTGTC